CACACACACACACACACACACACACTATACAAACACAATCTCAAATACACTTACTACTTCTATTACCCTGTTGGCCCTCGGTAATGAGTTAAGCACTAACCTGCCCGTCTGTCACTCAGCTGATATGATAATCCAGATCCGCTGGCGTTGCCCCCTGAGGGCCCCTGACCTCCCCTCCTTAATTTATCCATTTATTCCCCACTGACCCCCCACACACAAACACCACCGTCCCACCCACAGCAAGGTCACCAATTCATATTCCTACCTGCATTTACGCTGCAAGCAATGTTAAAACCATTGCCCCCTTGATGGGAGAGAGCACGTTATAATTCTGCAGACTGCTGGCAGAGAAGTGATTCTTGTTTCCAGAACTGATCTGACAAAGCAGGTCAGGAATCCTCCTTCAGCCCTTAAAGAGATACTGTATACTTATATGTGTTTTGTTTATAAGCTAAATGATATATTATTTGATGAATCACATTAATGGCTGGGGCACAGCGGCTGCAGAACTGCGGCAGAACGGCTGTGGAACAGCTTGTTTTCATTTCCGCGCCCATGTTCAGAGATCAGAGCTGGCACACCGGCTGCAGTTCAGCCGCTGTTCGGCCGCGGTTCAGCCGTGCTGCTCTTCTAGAGATTCGAGGTCTTGCCGATTTTTTTGTTTTGCATGTAGTTCTCACCAGAGTGGACAGAGTATATTATCTTTCAGAAGCAGAATCGGGGGTTTATTGCCGAGTAGGTTTACACATTCAAGGGATTTGCTCTGGTGTGTTTGTGCAAGTATAAATATAAAAAAATAAAAACAGGAAACTAAATAAACTATAAATATTTCAGCACAGTTTCAATGTTTATCTGTCGAATATGTCACAAACATCAATGTTTGCAGCAGTTGCTGTAGCCTACCATTTCAAAATAAAAGCACTCCAGCATTTCTGTGGACTGAATCCACACATTTTGTTTTTCCACTGGGGTGGAAGATGCACTGCATCATATTGCATAGTACTGGTATTTATTTGACTACCTAAGAGTACTTTTGTAAGGAAATACTGTAGTTATGCCAGAAACCTCAGGAAGGCTTTAGTATTAAAACATAAAGAGCTTCTGGTGATGGGAGGTGGTTTCTCTCTCTCTCTCTTACAAACCCTATGTAAAAACATTGTGCTGGCATTAGAAGCTCCACTGCAGAACCACAGCTGCCCCAGACGTAATGCTGATTTTAAAATGGTATTTATTAATCATGATGCCACCCAGTGTTTTAAACTGTCTTGGTCTTTCAGGGACGTCTCTACAACATGACGTTTATGTTTATCTGAAAAGCTTAAAACCCTTGAATCAAAGGTGGGAATTAACCATATTATTAACAACCATGATTAATTGACTGCTTGCTCTCAAAACATAACAACATCTCATTAATTTCTTTAGTTAATTATTTTGTCCTGCCGTTACACCTTGCAGAATGTAGGGGGTGCTACATCCCAGCAAACTTGCATAATCAGGTTTTCAACGTTTCACATAAGTTTACCTTGCACCTGAAGGGAATCCATTAGAGTCAATACATTTTTCTGTGCTAGTGTGACATCAGGAGGTAAATGAATAGGAACATCACTGTACCTCCGCTCGTATCTTGCATTTCCATGTGCACAAGATCAGGGTCCACATCCACACCAGATACAGACCTGGAACACAGAGGGTTGTTACATGATCAGTTGCATCAGAAATGAAACAAAAACAACCTGGCATTAGCTTTAGATTAGATAAGTTTACAAATGAGCACATTTCAGGAAGATCGTGTATGTTGAATGTCATTCATCTGATTTTTCAATTTATTTTCAGGTTATTATACATTAAACATAACTTTGAACATTATACTTAATTTCATCACCACAGGGGCAGATACTGTATTTGTTGAAGGAATATAAAAATTAAACATATAATGTTCAGTTATACAGTGATTCAATCATAGATCACAATAACACTGTGTGTATGTGCTGTATCCTTTGGTCCTGTTCGAAACAGAAAGCTTTGTGAACATGCACAGCTCAGCTCTTCTTGGAAAGTGCACTCAGATGTACTCTGGCCTAGCATGCTTGAAAACCTCCAAAAATGTTTATAACCTTATTCTGTCTTAGAACCACACTGACATGCTCCGCAGTGCACTCGCTCGATGTGCCCTTCAGTGAGTAGTAAACTAAGTAGTTCATCTGATTAGGACTGTGTAGTGCAGTTGGTGAAATTTCCCCAGCCCAGTAAAGATAGAGTGGAGATTTAAAACCTCATTACTTTGCCTATAAAAAGAGTTTACGAGCAATTAGCAGGCCGAGGAGGGACGAGGGAGGAACAGGGGAGGGAGGCCGGATCAGTGGAAATGCTCCAGGAGCTTCAGCTCATGTTGCAGGTTGATGACTCAGTCTTCCTCAGTTGGTCAATATGATCAGTTTGCTCACATATCCGTGACATTCACGAACTTCAAGCAACACATATGAGTGTTTGCTGATTTACTGCTCCATCAAAGACGCTATAAAAGCCACCTCATATTCCAATTTTACAGCGCTTCCTCTCACGGCAGCTGACGATGGCATGACGAGTTCAGATGACCTCCAAGAAGGTGTCAGAGAAAACCAACATCAATCAGAAGACTCTCCGTAATGGTCAACAAAACAGTGTGGTTCACCTACCATGCAATAATATTCACTGTTATTGTCAGATTGACTAACCCTAACTCTGCAAGGCCCACTGTCTACATTACCTGTGCATTGCATATATAATACAGCTCAGCTTCGGAACACATGGTCTGGAACCAGGCCGACCTTCTATGAGACGAATATCGACCATTAACCATTTGATGTGGAGCAAACAAATATTGGAAAACGGACAAAAAGGCAAAGGTAAAAGATTCTTTTCCGCCTGAATTTAACCATGCTGTGGTGATTTTCATCTCTTTGGACTCTTTTCATCATCTCTAAAAAATGCAGCACGCCAGAGAGGGAAGTCGTGTTTGTTATGTGGTAAATGTAACTTAACACTGAGTGATCTGATCGTGGCGGACATGATTTTCGCTGTTGTGGTTCAACAATCAGAGACGTCGTTATAGCACTTCAGGATTGTGGGTAGTGTATTACCTCTCCTTGATATCTAGACAAAATTTTTGTTATTCTACAAACACAGTTGATATTATACAGACTTGTGGCTTCTAGAGGATCATACATAAAATTGTTTCACAATCACGTAGCGTGGTTAGTCTACACTGGATGGTAAAAAAATATAACGGCTGATATTGAGCTCTATTGGTATACAAGTACTATTTAAATGCAGCCATTGTGTCTATTAGATTACTGATGTGTTGAGGTGTACCAGTACTCTTTCAACAGCTTAAAGGTTTTCAAAATACAATTTGATGTACTTTGTTATTTCTATTATGTGACAAAGTGATCACAGCTTTTTTTAAATTTTTTTACTTTAAACAGTTGTGATACTTGTCAAACTTTGAGATGTGTTGTGATCAGTGTTTTGCCTGGAATGGAATAAAAACAGAAACATATATGACATATAATGTAAAAGTTGACTTGGTAGGTGATGAGTAACAATCGTACTTAAAATAAAAGGCAAGGAGAACAAACACCTCATCTTTCCTAATCTTTTAAATGCTCATAACCAACAGGTCCAATGCTTCCTGCTCAAGTGTCCTTGACTTAGGCTTTGAACCTGAGGCTTCTCACTCATGTTATTCTGGATAAAAGTGTCAGCTGCATGCTTGAAATGCAAATGCCCAAGACTGAAGGTGAAAGCTTTCTCTGCGCCGGCAATACATCATTTATTCATTCCACTAACGTTTTTGGTTCGGCTCGAGCTTCATCACGGCCTACAGTAAGAGTGAGGGATTTCCTCCTCCTCTGGTCAGGGAAGTGCAAGTAGGCAGACTGTGAGGGCTGAAAAGGGAGGCAGGGGAAATGAAATGAACGACAGACATGAGTGATAGAGTGACATGAGGTGGTAAATAAAGAAAGGTGGATTGCTTTAGAGGAAAAAGAGGAGGAGGAGCGGCACGCTGCAAAAACATCCTCCCCGGGCCGGAATTCAGTTTCATCCCAGCTCTGGTTTCACTGCGTTGCTATTACTCCTTTAACCGTGTGGGTTTCACAGCATTTCACTTTTATCGCCTCTCCTCAGACGTGTGCTTTTGTTGTCAGTTGTCATCCTGTGAGACGCTGGTTCAATTTCAAAATGGCTGTTACGTTTTATTCAGGCTGACGAATAAAAGAGCAGCCCGGGATCACAAAGCAAGGTATACTGCAACACAATATGCCAGACCACCCCAATGGCAGATTGGCTTTAACTTGATGTGTTTTTATGTGATTTATACGCTCTGGCTGCCAGACTCCTGTTCTCTTGTTGCCTTTTATGACTGTTAGGCCACAGGCAAGGCAAAGGCCACAGCCAACAACGACTAGCTAACTCAGTCTCCTTCTGGCTACACATATTTATAGCACATGTATGCACAGGCACTTTTTTTTCTTACAGTATGTGCGGATCTGAACACCTGCGTATGTTTGCTGCAGGCAGTTAAGTCCAAGCCAAATAAAATAAAACAGTGGTTTAGTTTCGGAGTAGCAGGAACTAAATATACACTGTGAAATAATCTTTTGATGTTCTACTTCATGGACAAAGCTTTAGCCAGGCCATATAAAAATTCAGCTGGATTCAAACTATAATGACGTGCACATGTGAAAAGTAAAATGTTGGTGAACCTTAAAGGATTGGTTTAACAGTTTAGAAAATTATGTGTTTTATTATGAAAGGATTGACATCATCTGCATTAAGTAGTTGTGTGTGGTATTGCTATTATTATTAGGTAGTTTTCTGTGTTTAGATGTTCACGCAGGGAACAAAATCAGCGTTAAGGTCACCAGATCTGAATTTTTGTACATTCTTAGGTTGTGTCAATCTCAATTCTTGACTGCACAACTTTTTTTTCTCTCCATCATTTAAGAATTTGGAACAGGTTCTATTCGCTGCGTTTTTTCAAATCCGTCAAAGGCGTTCACAGAGTTAGCAGTTGGTAGCGTATCAAACTGGACTACTGACATCCTGAAATAGACTTGGAAGCGATCGCGATAATTTCGCAGCTCCTTAAACCGAAGATGAAATTCTCCATGTTCTTGCCGGCTATTTTATGCAGTTTATTTGTATCGCTGGTGATGTGTATTGTCCGATTTAGATAACTGTTAATTACAGGTGGAATAGTTCAGGTTGGACATTCAGATCCTAAATCTGATAAAGAGAATGTAACTTTAGCAGAAAGAAGGAAAGCACTTATGGCCCTCTCTCCTTCCTTACCCTCTCCTTTACTCCCCCTCACCTTCAAAATTTTTACGGCGCAGTGTTTGCATGATTCGTGCGTTACAGTTGGTGGTATAAATCAGAGGTGTTTTGGCGTGCGAAGGAACTCATTTACTATCGACAGTGAGAGGAAACAAACCAACAGGAGCTCGCAATGCCTTCCTGACCTTCAGAAGATGAAGGTGTGTACTCAAATGTATTGAAATGCACCATATTTGAATGCATCGTTTTACACCAATGCATAATGGACAGAGAGGAGAGTTAAGAGAGAGTTAGAGGAGGATGGAAGGAAGGTGATAAGAGGGAGAGAATCCCGAAACAAGATAACATGAAGGTGAGAGTGAGGAGAGGAAGGATTGGAAGAGATCGCTCAAGCTGTGAAATATTACATGTGTGGGAAAAAGCTATATACCTCCGCTTGCTGTGGGCACGTTTTCAAGAGATTCTATAAAATGGTTCTGCTGCATTAACTCCAGTGCTTACGATAAAAATCTAATTCAGATTTCAAGTTTAAGAAAAATCGGAGCAGAAGTTTGAGTTTTCTTTTTAATGTTCCACATAAAGTTGATTTATTTGCATCTGGGATATAGAAATCAATATAATTTTATCGTTTGAGCATTATTGTGTAAATAGCATGATGAGATCAGTAAAAAAAATAGCCCCATTAACTCTGCAGGAGCTCAACTGAATGTCTGGTACAGCTTGATCAAAATAGACTTCCTGCAAGAGCCTCTCATTTAAATCTAATAAATAAATAAATTAGGTAAAATAAAGTCCCACATCTGCAGACTACCATATTTGGTGCTCCCTGAGAAAATCATCAGAAGTTCCCCTGATGAGAACTGAGAGTTTTAACTATTTCTAGATACACTTATTAACACTTATTTGCTTCCTATCCAGGAGTGAGACGAGTGGATTGATATAACTTAAGATCAACCTTGAGTCCAACTAAACATTTATAGCATATTTGAATAAATTCCCTCAGGGTGTTCCTGAGATATCTTGTTCACAATGGTTTGGACAGAAAACCCAAACACATAATGCCTCTGGCCACTGGGACTACCTCTGCACTGCTACCAGGCTGTTCCAAGAGTCTCGATTTGCATCAAAGAATATGAGTTTTACTGCACCATAAAATAATTTCACTGAATTCACAGAAGTCTTTGTACCATAAGCACTGTTCCTCTCATTTCTCTACATGTTCAAAACTGGAACCCTTTTGTAGGGGAGTGTTCCAGGGTCCTCCAGATACCTGTGAGAATACGACATTTCGAACATTGAGCTGAATTCTAATTCAGTCAGGACCACTCTCGTCAAAGAAATCTTCATTTGAATCTGCGTAAAATACATTTGGTGGCAGCCTGAGACAGAGAGAGCACACCTGTCTGTTGTTCCATGTGCCTTCATGGAAAGCTTGAGACAAGGAGAGCAGCAGCAAGACGCCCAAAGAGAACAGGAATGTGACAACAGAAATGACGCTGAATAAATCAAACACAGGAGGAAAAAGGGGGAGCTGGGGTGGAGGTGGGTTGCCAAACGTCTTGCAGAGGAAGCAGCAGGGGCATGCTGGCTGAAGCAGCTGAGATAAGGTGCCTTGTTTGAGTTTTGTTAATGAATGCATGGAAGGGAATCAGCTGAGCCATGATGCTGACCTACTTTGAGATCAGCTGCTGGAGCTGTCAGGTGAGCTGAGCCTGACTTTGCGGCCTGGCTGAACTTTGCTCAATACATCCTTAATCACTGATGAGAACGACGAGTTGAACTCACCAGAACACTCTGTCCTTGGTCACACGCTCCTGAAGCAAAGTCCACTTGCGGCCCAGGTCTGTCGAAGCAAAGATCTGGATACAAAAGGGAGAAGACAATTAGGAAACACTCAATGAGTGTCGCATTAAATAATGAAGCTAAACCAGATTTTGTGTGCAAGTGTGTACTTATGTCTTGAGCAGTGAGAGGGAGTGTGTATTTTTAGCAGTGTGTGTGTATCTAATCTTTTATGCTATTGATCACACCCAAACTGAAAGTCTATCAATTACCACACAAAACATATCCTTGATGTATGAAAAGAACACTGACGCTCGAAAAGGATTTAACCTTCCAAACTTCCTCTACTATTCAAAAACAAGCCCTCACTGCTTGCCACTGACAGATCCTGCATAGTTGTTGTTAAGGTTGTACATCCTGTCTGCACGCCGATCGTGACGACCTCTCCTTTGCTCGGGGCGATCAGAAAACATGCACTCAGACACATTTCTAAAGCACGTTCTAGCTGCCTATTTGCAGCTGTGAAAAATAAAGCAAATCTCTCAATGACCTTGATGGAAATCTGTCCCTGTCCTCACAGACCCCCTTAATTTGCACGTTCTGCTCCGCGTCCTCACATCATCCTCTAGCTAAATGATTTTTTTTTGTTCTGTTTGAATGGATTCTTTGCCTCCATCTGCAGCCTGCCCATATGGAACAGATTAAAAGCTAATTGAATTTCCTGTTTAATTACGTGTAAATTATTGAAGTTGAGGAGGAGTTGAGCCAGACTCTGACTTATGAACTATTGGACCTAATGTCCCACCTCTATTCTCTCTCTATCTTGATTTCCACTTGACAGAAATAAATGTCAATGTGTGTCCGTGTGTGAGTTGTGAAATACTCACAGAAATGTGTTAATTATTGAATTTGACATTTTAACTACTAATCTGGAACAGTGTGTGGCGTTTTGTTCTTGTTGAGCACGTCAACAGAAACGTGATCTTTCCATCTCAGCTTGTATTATTTCATGTATATTAGTACGACAAGTCTTGACGAGCATTCTTAATTCTTTTATCTAAGGATTATATTTGGACGGCACGTTGACTCCCTGGTTTCATTTGTTTTGTATTAATGCCTCAGAGTGAAAGAGACACAATGAGATATTGATATCAACCTGTCACGTGAGCGTACTTAGCCCGTCTTCTACAGTGTTGCAGCCTTGACTGTCTCATCTCAGTGCCTCGCAGCAGCAGGACATAAGTAATACAAAGGACGGCAATGTGATGTCCTCACCTGCGTGTTTGCTGGGACTGGACTGACATGTTAGAACCACGGAGGCTATTAATTCCACTTTGTAGCAGAGAGGGCCGGATGTAAAACTGCAGTGTACGACTCAGAGAGCCGTGTAGCAGAAATATTACACTGCTGTACAAGCTTGTATGTGCGTGTAAGGCTATTACTTCTGGGAGCAGCAGCACTACTAGTTTAGGTACATTTCCCAGCAGCATTCAGAGCTACAATCCCTTCTAGCTTCTAAAAATTATGTAATGTTTCCAGCAGCAAGTTATTACACCACTTTAAAGGGATAGTTCACCCAAAGATTAAAAAGTCACTTGTTACCGACAGAGAGGTGAAGTGTTTGAGTTCTTAAAACACTTCTGGATTTTCGGGGGAGAAAATCCAATAGAATTGAAGTAACTGGGGATCAGTTCATCAAACGTAATCAAACGACAGAAAAAACGTAACATGCCTCCATACTTCTCCTGTGGTGTCATCCACTGGCTGCAATGCTGTTTATCCATGAAACTCCAAACGTGTTTCGTGAACTCAAACACTTTACCCAGCCCTCAATCAATGTAATGAGTGAACTTTCATATCCCCTTGAGAGAAGAACAATCTGTGCATCTAAAACTCTGACCAATCCATTTCGAGAGGATGTGTATGTGTGTTTAATAATTTACCCTCCCACTATATTGTTGCATGGTGAATCACACATCAAGTTTTCTCTAAGGTTTTTTTTTCTGTGAAAATTGAAATTGAATGCAGTGTCTGCAGAGGCTGCTTTAACATCACTGCCGTTTTCCTTTTCATTCTCTCAGCTACAGAATGAACTCTTCACTGTGATGTGTCTGTTGCGTTCTGACACCCACCCTGCCCTCCTTGCAGTAGGCGAGGAGCTTGTCCTCCTCCTTGGGGTGGAAGATGAGGGTGTCGGGGGTGAAAGCGATGGACTGCCGCTGGAAGGAGGAACCTTCGTCTGTGCTGATGAACAGCATCTGATCCCGTTCGTTGATGGATGAGCCCACCAGCACCACCTGTATGACAGAGGCACAGATAGACAGAGAGGAGGAGGAAGGGAAGAAAACAGAGGTTAGAGGTGAAACGGTCAGAGGGTAACGTCTTGCTCCGTCAGCGGGTCTGTTGAGGACATGCAAAGCCACCGTCCTCACATCAATATGTATATTTAAAAAATGATGAATTTAAAGGTATGCATGGCCACGCACATTTCTTCAAGGCCATTCTCCAGGCCACAAGAACTTTCTATCAACCGTACATGCTGCTCAGAATGTGGCAACACTGTATTGACTATCTATTCTGAGTTTTATAGCTCATAAAGTGAAGGCATTAAACAGGCGGCACAGCGAGACCTGCCAAGCCACCAATCACATTTATGTCCCGGACACTCAGGAGTGAGGCTACCAATGGGCCTGATCGATAGGAACTAATGAACCAGTCACATTCATTAGGACTTCATGAGAGGTGGGAAGCTGTCCAATGAGGGTTGCTAGGTGTTGTTGTTTATTATCAACACGGTGGTGCTTGTGTTTTGGTTTTTTTACAGTACATCAACCTTTTTTGCTGTTTTTTCAGCAAGCAAAAAAATGAAAGGACTCGCTGACGGCTGCCTTCTTTCTCAGGTTTAAATCAATGGATCCAAAGCAGTAAAGAGACATTAAGTGTATAAAAGGAAAGTGGAGCTTGTAAAGATATTTAAAAGATTAATTATGTGTTATGCATGCACACAAATAAGAAGCAGAAAGCACTCTGGGTAGACGTTATATAAGGAATGATATTTCATATTTCATTCTCATTTGGAATCCCGTGCATTCACATATTCACACAACGCCCCTATTCTGTACAACGTTTCCACCTCGCCTCCTCAAGGAGCCAGAAATAGAAAAGTAAAAACATCCGACCTCATCCAAAGAACAAGATTATCATGGTTTTAATAGCCACTAGTTAAGGGGAGTGAGCACACTAGCATTTAGGGAAGAAAGGCTTTATTGTTGTGTGTTTATCTCTGAGGTGAAACATCGCTTCAGCAAAGTGAACCCGCCCACAGCCGGCCAGAGACCGGCAACAGCTGCCCCATCATCATCAGCCGGTGCCAAAACAACCAAATAACAGTGAGGCATTTTGTCTGTGTCTATATTTACTGTTAGTACTTTTTTAAGTTTTAAAGTCACAAACAATTATGTGAGTCTACAATACACAACAGTACATTGGGTGAGGATTCAGATTCTGCTTAGAGCCCCCAAAAAAGGCCTGGACCATTGTAAGAGAATATATCCCATCAATTTCTATAAATTCATGATAAATGGTTATGAATATTTTGACATTCATGTTTTAATTGGTCAAAACAAAGTAGAACAAATCCAATCAGATTGATATTTTAGTGTTTTGAACCACATCTTCTAATTTGTCAGTATCAGATGTGTGGATATGAAAAATGCAATCTCTCATGTTTCCAGTTAATAACCTTCCATCTTTTACATTGTTCCTTTTCACTGCGGAAAACAAGCACATTAGCTGCTCGTGTTTCTTCCTTGACTTTTCAACTGATTTGTCTGAGCTGCCTTGATTGTTCTTATCATTATTATAAAAGCCACAGCATCAAACTCTCACTCAAATAAGCTGTAACTAGATGTTTTATCATCTTAGATAGATAAAATGAATTTGTATTCCTCCGTGAGACACACAAGCTTGGAAGTATAAGCATGTGTGCACACGGATCCTTTTCAGTATTCTAATCATGACCACAATTAGGCAGCAAGCGTAGCACGCCTCGCGTCTTGCTGGTTGCACTACTTGAGAGTCGTGTGTGTGTGTGTTTGTGTGTAACTCTTGCTTGTTCTGTACACACTTGCCTGAGCAGCATGGTCAATTAAAGGCCCACTGTTTGTTTGGCTGCCAGAGGAAGGCCAACAAGGACAAAGAGTGTTTCAGCAGGATAGAAAAGGCACAGAGGAGAATTATGGTTCTTTTCTTCACATTATTTATTTTGTCAATGTGGACCAAGCATGTCTGTATTTGCACCTGGGGACTGCCCACAGTGTTGGGCTGTTAAGGCCAAGCAGCTCCACTGGAAAGCTCATGATTCAGTGCCTTGCTCAAGGGGACCTTTGGAACATTTGCTCAGATTTTTCCAGTGGATTTAAGGATTTAACAAACTCTCCTGAAGCCACAACTGAGCAACAAAAAGTCTTAGGAATTAAAGGCTGTCTGAAAATTGAGCATTTATTTATATATGTAAAAAAAAAAACAGTTAAATTATGGAGCTGATGCAGGATTTTTTTTTTCTTTCTATAACATGGTAAATGATGGCGTGAGACAGTGGAGGCATGCACTCTACAAGTGCCCATCTAGTTTACAAAAAACTTGTTGGCAAATTACCATTGTGCAGTACATCTCTTTTGGTCAGATCAGTTGTTACTCCCCAGACTAATAATTTAATTCATTATGTTTTTTAATTTGTATTTTATGTACACTTGTGTCTCTCTCTCTTATTATTACTAAAAATAAGACTTTTATCTCAACCTGATTACTCCTGATCCACCTGATTAATTAAGGGTTCATAATATTTTAGGCCCAAATAGCAAAATCCATGGCTTCTACCAGATACAGCCTTATTTTAATTTCTCACTTTGGTTTCTCTTTGTGTCCCTGTGAGGCAGGACCATCAATCAGGTCAGACTGCCTCTGCCAATATGTCTCTATTTAAAGGACATCACCATAACCTAGTTGAGTTCTGACAGCTGGACATCATCAGGACACACACACACACACACACACACACACACACACACACTCCACATCACTAGACACTGACTGAAAATGCACAGTGACACATGAAAAGCCAGTGATGGATTGTTTCATTCATGCAACATGAATGCATGTATGATGCATGTGTTGAATTTAAAAGAAATGTACTTTTTGTTTTCCATTAAAATTATTTACTAGATATGTTGTGATGAGCTGCTGCACAGACTCTGATGATGTCAGAGAGATGTCATCACGGTTACCTTGATTCAAGCTCTGTGTTGCAACTGAGGGATAAAAGATTCTAATACATAGCCTAGTCTGGATGGAGTATGTACAAATGTTGCTTTTCAGTTGCACTATGGGGAATGTAGATTCTAGAGCTTGATTAAAGAATAAAAGTGAGGACATCTCTGCCTCTGTTGTCTTTTTCATTTGTCTCTCTTTAATCCATCTGTCTGTGCCCCAACATCACGCAAGTGCAGTACCAAGCCACCGAAGTAGCCCATTTTACTTCTAACTCGATTTTACAAGGTATTTGCTCTGATGAAGGAATTTTGCTTGCACACACATTCTACACATTTCTATATATCTGTTTTACCCCTCATGCCAATCAAGTCTACTTGAGACCCCCCATCACCCCACCACAGGTTGTTTTTAAGATGTGACCATTTCAACCAAAGAGTTATGTTTTTCTTTCAAATGGTGTTAAATAGAAAAATATATAATTATTCTTCATCTTTCACTCTCATCATTTTTTAACCTCTTGCATTTTTATAAATAATTTAAAGATATTAAAAAATTCAGCTGACAGGCTGGATTCAGGTTTGTGGGATTCCCAAAGCACTGACTCCGTCACTGATACACTACCGTCTCCTGATGCAGTAACGTGACTTGCCAACAAGTGGCACTCTTGTCAAACTGTAAGCATAAGCGCATGACTTCATATCTTCACTCTAAAGTTGAGACTGAGCTCCAGTCACCAACTCGCACATAAGTCTGTGAACTTTTTTGGGAAGCAACACAAAATGAGGAGGGGGTGGGGGCAGGCAAACGCTACAGTTGCTCTACTGTAAAAGATAGAATCCTTTGCAATCAAAAGACTTTGATACATTGCTCCCCTGTAACAATTCCCCCTGAGTGATAACACGCGCTTGGAAGCACAGTGAAGCTATTGTGTACTGCAGTTAAAAGCGGTCCCCAAACTTCCTGTCCCTGCGCTGCGGACCGGAGATGTGTGACACATTAAGGGGACTTAAAGAAACAAAAGTCGGCCCGTTTTAATCCGCGAAACGCTTGAACACCAGTGTGGCTTTCCAGAGAGCTATCTCGAATCCATGCGACATCTGATAATCTTTTGATCACAGCCAGTCTGATAAAGGCGGCTGATCGCTGAGGCCACACGAGCCCTGCTGTGTTGACACACATCAGAAGATATCAGCCCTATAATCTATTATAAAACAACACAATCTACTTAGCAGCTTAGAATAGCTTATGGGGGAGTGAGTGCTGGCGTGCAGTCGGAGCAAGAACAGTGTGAAGGTCTAGGAGCTGCAGGAGGATAAGAACGCCTGTGTACATTATCTCCGTATTGCATGTCACAACTTTGAACAGTTGAAGGGCTTTAATGCTGCAGCCTTATGAGGGTGATGAGAGCTCCTCAAGTGTGGAGAATGGAGAAAGCTTGTACATGATACACGTGCATGCACAGCATCAGAACCACCTGGAGAGTATGAAAGATGTACATGCATGTGCACACAGCTGACATACTGTAGGTGGATGAGGCACGCCTTCAAACATCAAATTTAAAAAAGCCTCTTAACGGGCCCCTGCCAATTTAACAGACTAGTGCAGTGCCAGTTCTTAACATGTCTCTAATTATATAATAGAAATAGAAATAAAAAGCTTATAAAAGGGTTGAGGGGCTCTAAATGTCTATTAAAAGATGCTGCTGTGATGCATTATTGGAAATCTAAACAGTATTAGCAGTACTAACAGTATCTCTGCCTTTGTGCATCAGATTAAATTACTGAATAGCTTGGCTGACCTTTTTAAAAACATAATTTCCCCTTTCAACCTCGGTCTTATTTTATGAATGTCCTCTTATATCCATTAATAACATTGTACTCATCAAGTTAGTTGTTCTGGTCTGTTTGCATAGTGACAGCATCACAAAAACAAGTGTCCAAGAAGCGTAAGCAATCAGATTATAAAGCAGGTTGTACACAAACCTCTAAAATCCATTATATTTAACAGACTGACCTCCTGTTGTAAT